AGAGCCACATTTTGCAGCAATTACAGCTACAAGTGTCTTGGGGTATGTCTCTATAAGCTTGGCACATCCATCCACTGGGATTTTTGCCCTTCAAGGCAAAACTGCTCCAACTCCTTCAAGTTGGATGGGTTCCGCTGGTGTACAGCAATCTTTAAGTCATACCACAGATTCTCAATTGGATTGAGGTCTGGGCTTTGACTAGGCCATTCCAAGACATTTAAATGTTTCCCCTTAAACCACTTGAGTGTTGCTTTAGCAGTATGCTTAGGGTCATTGTCCTGCTGGAAGGTGAACCTCCGTCCCAGTCTCAAATCTCTGGAAGACTGAAACAGGTTTCCCTCAAGAATTTCCCTGTATTTAGCGCCATCAATCATTCCTTCAATTCTGACCAGTTTCCCAGTCCCTGCCGATGAAAAACATCCCCACAGCATGATGCTGCCACCACCATGCTTCACTGTGGGGATGGTGTTCTCGGGGTGATGAGAGTTGTTGGGTTTGCGCCAGACATAGCGTTTTCCTTGATGGCCAAAAAGCTCAATTGTAGTCTCATCTGACCAGAGTACCTTTTTCCATATGTTTGGGGAGTCTCCCACATGCCTTTTGGCGAACACCAAACGTGTTTCCTTATTTTTTTCTTTAAGCAATGGCTTTTTTCTGGCCACTCTTCCGTAAAGCCCAGCTCTGTGGAGTTTACGGCTTAAAGTGGTCCTATGGACAGATACTCCAATCTCCGCTGTGGAGCTTTGCAGCTCCTTCAGTGTTATCTTTGGTCTCTTTGTTGCCTCTCTGATTAATGCCGTCCTTGCCTGGTCCGTGAGTTTTGGTGGGTGGCCGACTCTTGGCAGGTTTGTAGTGGTGCCATATTCTTTCCAGAACAGGTGTATGTATACTGAGATCATGTGACACTTAGATTGCACACAGGTGGACTTTATTTAACTAATTATGTGACTTCTGAAGGTAATTGGTTGCACCAGATCTTATTTAGGGGCTTCATACCAAAGGGGGTGAATACATATGCACGTACCACTTTTCAGTTATTTATCTTTGAGAATTTTTTTTAACAAGTTATTTTTTAAATTTCACTTCACCAATTTGGACTATTTTGTGTATGTCCATTACATTAAATCCAAATAAAAATCCATTTAAATTACAGGTTGTAATGCAACAAAATAGGAAAAACGTCAAGGGGGGTTAATACTTTTGCAAGGCACTGTAGCTACACCTGTCATTCTGGCAACCTTAGCCTGTGGCTCTGATAAACAGCAACAGTCAAATAAGAATATTTCAGGGGAACCCGTTGGCTGTGATGTAATAAGGCCATGTGGCTACACGCTGCTGCCCCTAGGATCTCTCAGATCTGTGCTGTTTCCTAAACGAAACCTACCCAACCCACCAGCACAACACTGACATCACCATCAGGAATTAAGCTGATATGTGACCGTCTGTCTCTCAGCTGTATTACATTCAGCAAATGACGGACAGCTAGGTACAACTAATACTGTTCTGACAGTTATATGCTTACAAGTTAGCCTTTTCACCACTTCAGCAAATGATGAGGAATAGGACAGCTAGTAAGCAAGGGGCACAGTCCTGACTGACAGTGAGATGTTTTACGTATGGAGCAGTATGGATGGAGATTGCTGTTGAAGTTCCTTTGTTTACTTTTCATATCTAGCAGCTGCTGAATGTTGAGTGCCTGAAAGACTCACTAAAATGATTTCGACCACAACACTGGAGAATACAATAATAATGCAGAGTAAGAATTTATTTTAAAGTTATAAAATATTTTAAGAAAACATATTTTATTTTACATAAACTGTACAGATGACATTTACATGACTAAATGATTCTGAAACAGGAACTAAAAATATATTTTTATTAAATAGAAAAACTGAAAAAATATAATTAAAGATGAAAAATGACGTGTTCCACATGTTTATTGTACAAAATAGATAGAGAAAGGAAATAATAGAACTAAGAAATGGAATCATCATAGTGTACCCTGATACGTAGATTAGGCCTCTTATGATCAAGCTAAAATAATCTTGGCCTCTTTGGTTCCATTATTACACAGCAAATTCCACAGAGTTAAATTAACACTGACAGTGTTGACCCGTATAGACACTGAACAGTGTTGAATTAACACACTGCTTAGTGTAAAGCTTTATTTGCATATTTTCCAGAGTGCTTTGCCTTTCGAGTAAATTGTAGAGTTACCACCCATGACGGAATTTGTTAGTGACAGAGACACGCTTGTTGCATTCATCCATTTTCAGTCCTGGGGTCTTCACCAAGTGAAATCCTAAGTGAAAATACTATCATTAAAATTGTATTATTTAACAAATACAGTATGTATTTCATAAGGCCTTATTTTGAGGACATACACAAAAAATGACTGGGTTGTTTGCATGACCCAACTGCTGGGTTGCAGGCATTGGGTCACTTACTTAGTATTTTTATTTCTTTTTTAAGACCAAGGTTGGTTTGTTGATGCTGGTTTATTGAGTGAGATAGACCCAGCGGGTCAGATCAGAAGACTGGAGTCTTGGCTTAGTAGGGGTGTGACTTTCAGCAAGTTATTTTTGGCCACCCATGAGAGTAAATGTAATTCCAGTTCATCTGTTCTGTTGAATCGTTATCGCATGTTATGGTTGAACACTGACACTTTTGTAGCATTAATGAAGTGTACAGAAACATATGGGTTCCTTAAAAGCCTATGCATATGTGATCTCCCCAATAGGATAGTTAACAGTTTGTTGCAATATGTAATTCATAATGTTAATATTTTTGTATTAGAATATGTAATGCACAGTAACATGTGAATACATTTTACATTGCAGTGTACAAACTTAACATGATCAACAGGAATGACATTTACTCTCACAGGTGGCCAAACATAACTATCTAAAAGCCATGCCCCTAATAAGTCCCGCCTCCTGAAAATAACCAATGGATTACAATAAAAAAGACAGAGCTGCTTGGTCAACCCAGCATGAAGGTGAATAAAAACTCAATTTATGGTTAAATTAACCAATGTTTGGGTAATCCGAACAACCCAACAATATGCCTTATTCATGCAACCTGTCACATTATGCTGGCTTGTATAATGCGTAATTCCGACTGAATTTTTTATCACCCGCAACTGCCAGGGTTGGGAAGACTGAAATATGAGACTCCCTAAAGCATCTAAACTGGAACAACCATTTCAGTAACAGGTGCAATAAGTCCAAGTAACATATTGGATTAGTTTAGAAAATGTATCTCACTTATATTTGAGAAACATAAGATTAATTAATCAATCAATGTACATGCAAAAACATAGATATTGAAACAAACAATTATTAAAATCAACCTGCAATAGAGCATGTTGGGAAATATATTAATGATGGGCATGGTTTTGGTTAAACTCTGGTTATTAACACCAACACTGAGTGTTAATTCAACACTTAGAGTTAATTGTTATGTTTAGAGTGTAGTCCCTCAGAATAAGTACTTATGAAATACTTATTGTATTGTGTTAAATAATACAACTTTAATAACATCATCTCAGGATCTCGCTTGCTGAAGTCCATTGGACTGAAAATTGATGAATGCAACAACCATGTCTCTGTCACTAACAAAGACAGCCATGAGTGGTAACTCTATAATTCACTCAAAAGGCAAGGGATTCTGGGAAATAAGGCTTTGCACTAAGCAGTGTGTTAATTTAACACTGGTCCAGTGTCTATACGGGCCCACACTTCCAGTGTTATTTTAACACTCTCAGTGTTGATTTAACAATGGAGAATTTGCTGTGTAGGTAAAATACTTTTTAAAACAAAATGTCAATTTACTTCCATAAAAATAATTTTCAATGGCAGTCTGTTTATTAACTAATCCTGCAACTTTTCAGTGCAAATGTCATAACAATCATTTGCTTTGGAAAAACAGAAGCGAAAGATCACATTTCAAGTATTTGATAGGAGGAGTTACACTAGGATAGGAGGAGGAGAAAGTTCAGTTCAGTCTGGTAGAGTTGCATGGGTGGGTTACTATTCATTGCATAGATCACGTGGCACTTATTTATGACAAGACACTCAGTACCCCTTTGAAGGCATTTCAATATGCAAGTGCTATTAGGAGTGGGAGTGTGCATTTAAAGGGTTTAGTCTGTAAGTGCTGCACTGCACCATCATGCCCTGTTGGGCCCTAACAAAAAACTCTTCGCCAATTCGAGGTACACTTTATCGGAACAAGTAAGGGCAGTGGGGACTCTGCGTTCTCAGGATTAAGTGTATGTAGTGCAGTTTGCACAAAGGTCCATCTTCACCTTTGAACTCAGTGAGCGATTGCCTGCAGCATGGTCACAGACAGACACACACTTACACAGGCAGGAGGAAAGAACGTGGTCCAATGTCAACAACAATATGTCAATGTTAACAACTTTGTTGTTGTGTCGTTACCTCACATGGACAGGAGTGTAGTCCTGGAAAAGCTTTATTCAATAATCATTTCTTGCTGATACAGTTGATGTAATAATTCCACAGGATCAGACAGTCACAGTGTCTTTATGACATTCTTCATGGAAGTGCTGGTGTTTCTGAATTATATAAGCCGACGAATTGTCATTGTCAGTGCTTTTTTTTTTCAACGTCCTGGTGTGCTGCTTCCTTAAGCGCTTTTCTTTCCATCTTCCTCAGAGAAGAAATTAAGGACCATTATTTTTCCTCTAGAAATGGCAAACTAGAAAAATGATATCATTTGCTGATCAATCATCTCCTTCTCTTCCCAAAACTCTGGAACCGTTCTGATGTTGTTAATATGGAATGGACAGAACCTCGCTCAGCCAGGTAAATACAACAAACCATAAATACATATTGTTTGTGTGTACCAGTTGGTGTGCTTCCATATAACTATATATATATATATATGTGTGTAGTACAAAAAGGTATTTTTGTACAAAACATTTTGACTACCGTCGTTTGATTTAACTTTCAAAGCTCAAAAAGTCACAGACAGTCTCAGGCACAGCCACACTCTTCCACTATCATATTGGGCACGTCTCGTTTTACTATGTTGTACTCATCGTCGAAGTACAGCATAGACATGGTGCTGAGCTTGGTGGGGATACAACAGGAGTTGACCGAGCCGGGGCTCATGCCCCTCATCCGGTATTGGTTGACCACTGCTGTGTGGAATGACGACGCCGACCCCGGTACCCCCGCCATGTACGCCGGGCAGCTTCCCTCGCAGTAGTTACCGTAGTAACCCGCGGGTGCGATGATCCAGTCGTTCCAGCCAATGAGGCGAAAGTCTATGTAGAACTGCCGTCTGCAGCACAGGCCTCCACTGCTCCCGTCACACTCCAGCCCCCTCTTCCTGATGCGGTGGTTCCCTTCCACCTGCTGTGCCCGGACCACCAGAAAGGGCCTGTGTGAGGGTTCCACTGGGTCGACTAAGATAGGAACCACGTTGGACGCCTCACAGCCCTCGCAGCGCACCTCCAGGTCCTGCCGCCGGCCGCCCTTACCAAACAGGGCCCTCACTGCCTCTGACAGGGGGAAGGTGTGCCAGCCACTGCGCTTTAGGTCCACACGCTTCTCCACTAGGGTCCACCGACCTCCTCCCCCTACCCCGGGCCCTGTTCCTCCCCCGGCTCCACCTGCAGCCCCAGTCCCTGCCTCATGGTAGTGGATCTTAACTGTGACTTTCCGTCGAGGCCCTTTCTCGGAGCCGGTGGGCAGCAGCCTGAAGTAGAGCCACAGGTTGGCCTGAGACACATACAGGTTCTGGTTCCCTTCACTGGAGATGAGGAAGTGGAGGCTGGACTTAGAGGCTTGAGATGAAACCAGCTCATCTGATAGAGAAGAGAGGGAAATGTGGGTTTAGTGATATATACTGTACAGTCAAGGGTCAAGAGAATAAACTGACAATTTTAAAGGGCAAGTTAGAAAAGCTGACAAAATTCACAAATTCAAACAGGACAGGAGGATGAAATCCTCACAGTTTTCCAACTTGTGTCTCTGTGAATGAAAGTTATATCATACTACATATGAGTGTCATTTTTAAGAGGGAGAAAGAAGTGGACAAACATCCACAGGGAGCCCCAAGCAGGGAGCCAGAGAGGGAGCAGTTCAGTCAGTTCTGTCTCTCCTCTCCTCTCCTCTCCTCTCCTCTCCTCTCCTCTCCTCTCCTCTCCTCTCCTCTCCATCACCACTCTCTTTCTCTTACATCACATGCCGTTAGACTAGTTCCTTATAGGCTGTTTCTCCTGACAGCCCAGTTCTGGGAGCAGGCCCAGTTGGCATCAGGTCTGATTGTGAAGACTAGGGGAGTGGAGGAGGGGGGTGGACAAGGCCCGGGCCCCAGGGGGTTAATTGAGTTCGCTGTTTGTGTGTGTGTGTATGTGTGTGTGTGTGAAACCCCCTGAGCTCCCCGGAGCCTCTGAGACTGACAGCATAAAGACCCCAGTGAGGTATTAGGAGACAGCCTCGCTGCTGCCTGGCATTGAGCGCGTGGCCCTCCTAACCAAAAGCATGATGAGGCAAAAATAAAATCAATTTACATGACACTGGCCACTTTCTAAAACGACACAAAGAGATTCCAAATGTCTAAGGCATAATGGAGTTTGGGGTCGGCCGTATCTTTTTTTTTAAGCCTAATGATGTCTTCCAAATTACTGTGAAAACCGAGAGGGTTCTGTCTGGGGGTTAGCCAGGATCGGCTTCAGCTGAGCACATGTTGAAGTGGCAAAATGTCTTTGTTTACAAACTGATTAGCGTGAGTTGGTGTCAACAGCTAACCACCAAAGATGATCCTTTTAAAGCGACTCTACGTTTACAACGTACTCCAGTAACAGTGACTTTACATTCATTTCACACAGACCTGTTCAGACTAGTTCTGCCTCCCGCTACAGTATGTCAGCCGGGAGCCAAAGTAACACACACACACACACACACACACACACACATCCCTGTGGCAACAACAAAAGCACAAGGTGCATGCATATCAGCAACATCGATATCCAACCCTCAGAGTGCAGTATCAAGAATGTAAGAAGAACTGTATGTATTGAAATGCATCAGAAGTGTAGATCTAAAGGCATTGATTCAATAACAGTTTTCCCCTGTTTTAACTGCTGTCATGGCCCGAGGTAAGGAGTATCTAACCTCGCCTCATTTACTACCATGCCTTGCTGCTTGCCTCAACAGCTCCCAGTGATCAACAGGGGAGCTCATAGGCCAGGGCGTTTCTCTCTCTGTGCCCTGAGTGACAGTGTATGGGAGGCAATGAAGTGAGATGGCAGTCTGAATCTCTGACTACAAAGATCCTCCAGTCTGGACTGAAGCATGGTCATAAGAGATGTGCTAGCTTTATATAAAAATAACATATTTTTTAACGGCCCACAAGTTAGGGTATCTGAGACTGCCGACTGGGCACAGAAGTAAATTCAACATCTATTACACGTTGGTTCAATTTCATTGAAATGACGTGGAAACAACATTGACTCAACCAGTGTGTGCCCAGTGGGTGGCCGCATTAAAGTGGATGCTGGAGTGGATTGAGAATCATCCTGCTAGAAAACACTTAAACTATTTACCTTTTCTTTCCTTTTCTAAAATACCACAAAAACACATAGCCAGGTGCTTTAACACCGGTGTGCACTGACTGCAGGCTGTGGGAAGGTGAGGGGGGAAGCGAGGTGAGGAAGGAGGTTAGGGAGGAGACCAGTTAAACCAAGAGGTGTGCTGCCTGACTCTGAGTGTGCCTGGCGTCAATGTGCTCCTGGGCCAGGCAGGGTTAGGGCAGGGCAGGTGAGGGGAGGGTGATATCTGGCTGGGCCTCTCTCGCTCTCTGGTAGAGCTAGCACTGCTGGTACTACAGCTGCCTCAGCGTGTCCCCACCTGCGCCACCAACACAACAACAAGGCAGGCCGACAGGTAGGTAAGCAGGCGGGAAATCAGGTAGACAGGTAGGCAAGCAGGCAGGCAATCAGGCAGACAAAAAAGCAGACAAGCAGGGAGGCAGACAGACCGGCAGGCAGGCAGGCAGGCAGGCAGTGTGCGTGTGTGTGCACGTGTGCGTGTGCACAACATAGGCAGGGTGCATGTAGCAGGGTGCTATGCTCATTACTCAAAGTCTGTGTCAACAGAGACCGCACATCGCGGAGCACCGCTGCTCTGACATGAGCCTCGCCTTGCAGTCAGACACACAGACACACACAGCTCTGACAGCCATCCCTTAGGCTGCTGGAGCACAGTGCTCAGCTCTGCACTCCAGGAATTCCACACAGGGAAATAGGAGAGGGGGAAAGAGCACAGCAGGTCAGGGCGAGCCCCATTCGGCCAGCTGTTAGTAAGCTGCTTTGGTGGTAGTGGTGGAGAAATGACATACACACGGGGGGGGGGGATTGGATTGAGTGTGATGTGGAAAATGCCTGGAGCGGCTCCAGACAGGGCATGATTGATGTTTCTTCATGAAAGACTGTGTCCCAGTGTAAACCCAGCAGCCAGCCCTATAGCCCTGCAAGGCTGCATCCCAAATGGCACCCTATTCCCTATATAATGGACATTTTTACCAGGGCCCATAGGGCTCTGGTCAAATAGTACACTATATAGGGAATAGGGTGCCATTTGGGACATAGCCCGGGGACTGGGCCAGAGTTAATGACATCCAATAATTAAGTCTTGATTCCGTTACTTGGACCGGAGTCACAGGGAGTTCAACCGGTCCAAACGGCTATACCAACGCTATACCAACTCACATCTCCCCTTGCCCTCCGCTCCGCTCCCGTGGTTACGGGACACCAAATCCTGCCGCCAAAGCGAGGGCCCACGGGACCGTGTCATAAGAGACGGGTGGTTGGCACTGTTCCTTACCTGGAACGTTGGCAGTGAGCTCAGTCTCAGTCTCAGCCTCTGCTCCGCTAGGCAGTCTAAGACTGATGGCTGACTGAGAGCTATAGCTGCCTCCTAGCTCCTAGCTGGCTGAAAACCATACAGTTTAAACTATGCGAATAAGACAGGACAACGTCCCACACCTTCACAAAATACTTTGGCCTGATACTTCGCAGTCATCCAGTAAAGCCCATCACAAACTCCCCTAGGCCCCTACCAGCACACCTTGATCTTTGACTGTGACATCACCCGGCCTGTGCCTGGGCCTGGTCTAGCTGCCTCTCTCCAGGTCGCTCTAGGGGCCTTGTCCCTCTCTCCATGCCCTGGCTGGCAGCCTGGGCTTTGGGCTCTGGGGGTGAGTGCCAGCTGGCCTGAAGGCAGAGGGGGTCTAGAGAACAGGGAGCAAAGCCAGTTCCATGGCACAATGCTGCACAAAGGCTCAAAGGTGTCGTGAATAATGGCAAAAGCAAAGAGGCCAGGTTGGTGAACCTTTATATGACAAAAACATTATTTAGAAAACGGTGATATGTGCACACCATGCACCCTCCTCCTCCATCTCTCCATCACCCCGAACCCACAACCGGTGACTCAAATGTCTCATGCATTATTCTGAGCATTTTCTTAATGTTGACATATTGGGTTTAGCAAGAATGCACAGTGCTCTCTCAATAATTGCCTTGTGTTCAACCTGGACTCAGGGGTAGATGTAACATAGTAAACGTAATTCCGGTCCACTCCAATTAGTGTGATATGTTACGTTTCGTACAGTATGTATTAATTTGCAATTCGTACAATATGTTACAAATTGCAATTCCTACAATATATTACGAATTTGCGAAACATATGATATGTTACGAATTCCAATTTGTTGTGGCTAACGTTATCTAGGTGGCTAGTAGCTAACGCTAATGTTAGCTAGGCTAGGGGTTAGGGGTTAATGTTAAGGTTGGGGTTAGGGTTGGGGGTTAAGTTAAAGGGTTAAGATTAGGGTTAGCTAACATGCTAAGTAGTTGCAAAGAAGTTAAAAAGTAGTAAGTAGTTGCAAAGTTGCTAAAATGCTAAAGTTGTCCGTGATGCGATTCAAACACGCAACCTTTGGGTTGCTAGACGTTCGCATAACCTTCTGTCTTATGTAACATACCAAATGTAACATATCATATTAATTTGAGTGTCCCAGATGTACTTTTACTATGTTACATCTAATACATGAGACCAGGCTGTTGCTTTTGTTCCCTTGTCATGAATGTGCTCAGATCATTCCTATTAGAAGGCAACAGCTAGGAACCCATCCAGGCTGATGGTACTGTGTGTGCTGCTAATGCTTCCTCTGATGCTTCCTCTGCTATACAAACCTAAAAACAGTCAAATATGACGTTCTCACCTCACTAACCTGGCAATTATTGGTTTCTGTTATCTAACTGATGATAGATTAGAGCTCACAGAGTGTGTGTGTAGGGCATGAGGCTGAGGCCCGTAGGGTGCCCAAGACGGAAACAAAATAATTAATTAAAAACGAAATAGACAGCATACTGTATATTATATATATATATGTAGTATTTACAGTTGAAGTCGGAAGTTTACATACACCTTAGCCAAATACATTTAAACTCAGTTTTTCACAATTCCTGACATTTAATCCTAGTAAATATTCCCTGTTTTAGGTCAGTTAGGATCACCACTTTATTTTAAGAATGTGAAATGTCAGATAGTAGAGTGAATGATTTATTTCAGCTTTTATTTATTTCATCACATTCCCAGTGGGTCAGAAGTTTACATACACTCAATTAGAATTTGGTAGCATTGCCTTTAAATTGTTTAACTTGGGTCAAACGTTTCGGGTAGCCTTCCACAAGCTTCCCACAATAAGTTGGGTGAATTTTGGCCCATTCCTCCTGACAGAGCTGGGTTAACTGAGTCAGGTTTGTAGGCCTCCTTGCTCGCACACGCTTTTTCAGTTCTGCCCACAAATGTTCTATAGGATTGAGGTCAGGGCTTTGTGATGGCCACTCCAATACCTTGACTTTGTTGTCCTTAAGCCATTTTGGAAGTATGCTTGGGGTCATTGTCCATTTGGAAGACCCATTTACGACCAAGCTTTAACTTCCTGACTGATGTCTTGAGATGTTGCTTCAATATATCCACATAATTTTCCTTCCTCATGATGCCATCTATTTTGTGAAGTGCACCAGTCCCTCCTGCAGCAAAGCACCCTCACAGCATGATGCTGCCACCCCCGTGCTTCACGGTTGGGATGGTGTTCTTCGGCTTGCAATCCTTCCCCCTTTTTCCTCCAAACATAACGATGGTCATTATGGCCAAACAGTTCTATTTTTGTTTCATCAGACCAGAGGACATTTCTCAAAAAGTACGATCTTTGTCCCCATGTGCAGTTGCAAATTGTAGTCTAGCTTTTTTTATGGCGGTTTTGGAGCAGTGGCTTCTTCCTTGCTGAGCGGCCTTTCAGGTTATGTCGATATAGGACTTGTTTTACTGTGGATATAGATACTTTTGTACCTGTTTCCTCCAGCATCTTCACAAGGTCCTTTGCTGTTGTTCTGGGATTGATTTGCACTTTCGCACCAAAGTACGTTCATCTCTAGGAGACAGAACGTGTCTCCTTCCTGAGCGGTATGATGGCTGCGTGGTCCCATGGTGTTTATACTTGCGTACTATTGTTTGTACAGATGAACGTGGTACCTTCAGGCGTTTGGAAATTGCTCCCAAGGATGAACCAGACTTGTGGAGGTCTACCATTTTTTTTCTGAGGTCTTGGCTGATTTCTTATGATTTTCCCATGATGTCAAGCAAAGAGGCACTGAGTTTGAAGGTAGGCCTTGAAATACATCCACAGGTACACCTCCAATTGACTCAAATAATGTCAATTAGCCTATCAGAAGCTTCTAAAGCCATGACATCATTTTCTGGAATTTTCCAAGCTGTTTAAAGGCACCGTCAACTTAGTGTATGTAAACTTCTGACCCACTGGAATTGTGAGACAGTGAATTATAAGTGAAATAATCTGTCTGTAAACAATTGTTGGAAAAATTACTTGTGTCATGCACAAAGTAGATGTCCTAACCGACTTGCCAAAACTATAGTTTGTTAACAAGAAATTTGTGGAGTGGTTGAAAAACAAGTTTTAATGACTCCAACCTAAGTGTATGTAAACTTCCGACTTCAACTGTATATTTTTTCGATATATTTTTTTTATGCAAACGCCAACCACAGGAGGACTCAGGGGCCCGCTCTCAATCAGTGTAGACCGCCTGCTACTGTCGCTCTGATAATCATCAGATGGGGGAGGAGAGGAGGTAGGGGGCCCACATGGGTAACTGAGGGCCCCTGCCTTGGTTGGGTAACGTAGAGAACATTTTGCTGTTTTAAAGCAGGTTTTCTGCAATTATAAATATTTTTCCATGAGGTGGGGAGTAATTTTTGCAGTTTAAAAGCTAATTACCTGCAATTCTACACATTTTGCCATGACTTTTGCCATGTTAATTATATCTGAGAGAGTGACAAACAAAATTAATGGGGGCCCCCTGGAGGTCAGGGCCCCTGGGAACGTGCCCTGCGTGCCCGGTCGGTATTCGGCCATGATTACTTCAAGTTTAGATAGCTGGCTAGACTAACTTACCAATCAATAAATTGTTAACAGACATGGCTAATTGAGTGACTGTCAGTGACTGACATAACAAGAGAAAAACTGTTGATGCACAACCATCTATGATTTGCTAATCCGGCCCTGTGCTTGTCTGTGTGTGTGCACTGTAAACCCCAATGTGCTGTTATTATTCAAAACTTTTGAGGAAACCTGTTGCACTTAATATATCTGAGTACAGAAAAACGTGCTGATTGTCTATACTGTAACGGAAAACTGTAATTTATACGATAATTCGTGGTATTATCAACAGTAAAATCCAGGGTCTGTCGTAGCCGGCCGCGACCGGGAGACCCATGGGGCGGCGCATAATTGGCCCAGCGTCGTCCAGGGTAGGGGAGGGAATGGCCGGCAGGGATGTAGAGCATGGCGTTTGCAACGCCAGGGTTGTGGGTTCATTTCCCATGGGGGGCCAGTATGAAAAATAAAATAATGTATGCACTCACTAACTGTAAGTCGCTCTGGATAAGAGCGTCTGCTAAATGACTAAAATGTAAAAATGTAAAATGTAAAATACTCTGAAACATTTTACTGCAGCATACTGTAAATTATGGTGCATTTTGGGAAAATGTTGTGGCCGGGGAAAGAATTGTTGTATTTCTAATGGTACTGTAATTCCAACCCACAGAAGGTCACCCGTGATACAAGTCAGTATTAGACATCCATCCATGTCTGAGGACGTTGGGAGATGATGTGGAAACTGGCCACTAGGGGTAACAGTGAGTGCTGTTACCTTTAAGTAGGTTTCGGTCTTGCTTGGTTGTTGTGGACGGGGATGGCGGATGGGTGTAAGCCTCTGGTGCAAAAGTTTGCATGTTCGAATCCAGCGATAGAAAGTTGTTTATTTTATTTTTGTTTTGTATCCCAAACCTTAACCATTCGGAGTTAAATTTACGTCATTTAGCAGACACTCTTATCCTGAATGACTTACAGGAGCAATTAGGGTTAAGTGCCTTGCTTAAGGGCACATTGACAGATTTTTCACCTAGTCAGCTCGGGGATTAGAACCAGCGATCTTTCGGTTACTGGCGCAATGCTCTTACCCACTAAGCTACCTGCCGTAATGTAATCTTACATTTTACATTTGAGAAACATGGATGAACGTCTAATTCTGACGCGAGAATGTGAGAGATTGTTGCAGAATACAGTACCACACCATATCTTTGGAGTGCCAAAAACGTTTTGACCACTAGTGGGTGCATGGTGGTGTTGTTTCTGGCTTATTAACATATTTTGAGATGTGCCTTGTAAGAGGCTATATTTGTGGCACCCCTGAGTCAGAATGCTGTACTAATTTAACTCCTATGTGGTTATTGTGCCAAATCAATTAAAAATGTATAGAAAACAGATTGGAGTGGCAACAAGTCTTAAACCTTTAATGGTTGAGCATTTTGCCATGTCCTTTTGGTCGGTAGTTGCTGCTAGTTTGGAAGCCTTTGTTAAGAACTCTAGAAGTGCAAGTGATATAAAATACCAAATATTAATTAATATGCTGTAATGTTGAAACAATTTACCTTGCAGCAAACCCTTGTAATTACAGTAAAATCCTGTGAAATAAAAACCCCACCCCTCAATGAATTTCATTCATACATTCATTCATCCCGATAATGGTAGCATTTACTTTTTACAGTTTAATACAGTCAATTTTACAGTAATGTACTGTGTGTCACTGAATTAATAATGACTCAGAAATAAAGGGAGATAAAAGGGGTGATCAAATGAGTGATATAAATCCTACGATTATCGATAATTACCTGATTCTGCGAAACTTATTATCTCCGACGTCTCCCCTTGCAGCTCGTTACTATAGGAAGCTTGTCCATCAAGGTTGGGGATCTCAACCCTCCCGTCTTCCCGTACCTTACTGGCTTGAAGCCTCCTCAGCGCTGTCAACATTGCAGCCTTGGGAATAGGATGAGTAATGTTGGGTCTTTCACTCATTTGTAACCTGTTCAAGATGTGCCTCTTGACTGCTTCCAAAAGGTCTACGTCCACCCGTTCTGACGCCTCCGGCATCCCACACGATGCGCACGACTCCCGGGCAACGGTTTGAGTCTCTGCCCCGGTTATTTCCGCCCCCGTTGTCCCCAAGGTACCGCGGATTGAAAGTATGCAAGCCATTAAACAAACCAGTGTGAGATTATATTTTCTCATTTTCTCTTTTTGAGACTGGAATTCCAAAGCACGCCGCTGGAAAGGAATTGTGGTTCTTGAATACAGAGAGCAAAGTTAGAGGGTTAGGCTACTTCACAAGTATCTCGGTAAAGATCCTACTATACGCCACCGGGAATACACATGTAACGAGGATTGATGCACACGTTACGGTAATCCAAAACAGTCCATGTAGTTTTTGCATTCCAAAAATTATTGCTGTCAAGAGCTATTGGTTTTGCAGATATTCTGTTATTTGCTTAATCTCCAGCCCTGTCAGGCCTGGGTCCTTTTTGTCCAAAGCTCACTATCAGTCGAGTTCTCATCTAAAGCACAATTCCAGAGGTGTTGATACTTGACCGGCGAACTTGAAATGATCACAGGGTACTAGGCTAAATGAATGGCACTACCGCGTTTTCAAATGGATCGAAACGAATTATTACAGTCCTTATCCTTTGCAAACCACTCATAGTTATCAAACGTATCTCACCGGTACGCTAGCTTTGTATTCGAAACGTCTGATGTGAAATTCCAAATATGAGGTTACCACTGCTCTTTACATTCAAATCACTCCTATAAACGCAACTTTAGGAATCCAACTAAATTGCAATCCAATTCATACCCAACTCATCCCTTGATCACTGTCTTCTCTGTCTACTGGTGAGTTGAGTAGGCTGCTTGGCAATGGGACGTCTCTGCGTCCAGTAAGAGACTATTTTATCTTTACACTTTTCTCCTTTGCAATCACGACACGGAGCCACCTAACACCGAAAGTTTTTATACAGGAGTTGAAACCACGTGGGGAGTTCCACCAACAGGGCGCAAGGGATAATATTGCTGGGAGAAAAGCGCAGCGCAGGATGGAGAGAATACTGTCCTATGTTAAAAGTACTAGAATACAATAGTGACCCCTTTTAACCCCGAATATCAATTTCTCTATTATAATTTTACACTAAATTACCTCATAAACAATACATTTTATTATAGGCCTAAAACAGATTGTCATTTTCATAAATATGGAGCTATATCTGCAAGACACCTGATGCCATAAAATTGGAAGATTTTATCTATATTTTAGGATTATGGTGTATGAAATAAAAAACAAAAACAAAAATAATAAACACACACACGGACGCACGTAACACACACACACACACACACACACTTCACTGTAGTTTTCGGGGTTGATTGAACATTGTACATTTTCCTTCTATTCCAGTGTGTTTCACCATCACATTTTTGTAAGGTATTCACAAGTTCAGACAGTCATGAACGACTCGGTTTTGGTGATAACTCGGAATTGAAAGACAAATTACTGGAAATTGACGTTTAAATTACTTGACTGTAACGGGATACCCTTTATAAAGCAGTGTTCATACTCGTGTCATCTTTGCGCTTTTACGCACAAGGAAAAATAAAACAAACAGCGCCCTCCTTTGTTGAAACAGCTTCACTACACTATTGGCCCATTAATCTGAAAACTGTTAATTATTGCTGAGTAAAGTGCCAAGACGCCAAAATGAATGCAACGCTCTGTCTAAAAATATCAACACGTCCCGATACCTTGATATAGGTAGGACAAGTGAAATGGCGCATTAGCCAACGGTCAAGCGTGGTCGTGGATTAGACAACAGTCCTTCATTTCCCAGGCACAAGCTTTGTTAGACAGTCACATAAGGACACCAGAGAGAGAGAGAGAGAGAGAGAGAGAGAAATAGAAAGAGAGAGAGAGAGAGACAGACAGAGAGAGAGACAGAGAGAGAGAGAGAGAGAGAGAGAAAAAATAAGACAGAGAGACAGACAGAGAGACAGAGAGACTGAGAAAAAGAGAGCGAGACAGACAGAGAGACAGAGAAAAAGACAGAGAGACAGACAGAGAGAGAGAGACAGAGAGAGAGACAGATAGAGAGACAGAGAGTGTTCTTGGGGACCTTAAATGCTGCACACATTTTTTGGTACCCTTTCACAGATCTGTGCCTCGACACAATCCTGTCTCGGAGCTCTACGGACAATTCCTTCGACCTCATGGCTTGGTTTTTGCTCTGACATGCACTGTCAACTGTGGGATCTTACATAGACAGGTGTGTGCCTTTCCAAATCATGTCCAATCAATTGAATTTACCACAGGTGGACTCCAATCAAGTTGTAGAAACATCTCAAGGACGATCAATGGAAACAGGATGCACCTGAGTTCAATTTCGAGTCTCATAGCAAAGGGTCTGAATACTTATGTAAATAGGTATTTCTGTTTTTTTATTTTTAATACATTGGTAAAAAATTATAAAAACCTGTTTTCGCTTTGTCATTATGGGGTATTGTGCGTAGATTGATGAGGACATTTTTTTATTTAATCCATTTTAAATAAGGCTGTAACGTAAAAAATGTGGAAAAAGTCAAGGGGTCTGAATACTTTCTGAAAGTGTAAAGTGTTGGTCCCATGTTTCATGAGCTGAAAACATGATCTGAAATAAAAGATCCCAGAGATTTTCCATATGCACAAAAGGTTTATTTCTCTCAAATTCTGTGCACAAATTTGTTTACAACCTTGTTAGTGAGCATTTTTCCTTTGTCAAACAGGTGTGGCGTATCAGGTGTGTGCATGATCATTACACAGGTGCACCTTGTGTGGGGGACAATCAAAAGCCACTCTAAAATGTGCAGTTTTATCACACAACACAATTCCACACATGTCTCAAGTTTTGAGGGAGTGTGCAATTGGCAGGTTGACTGCAGGAATGTCCACCAGAGCTATTGTCAGAGAATTTAATGTTCATTTCTACACCATAAGCCAACGTCATTTTAGAGAAATTGGCAGTACGTCAAACTGGCCACACAACCGCAGACCACGTGTAACCACGCCAGCCCAGGATCTCCACATCCGGCTTCTTCACCTGCAGGATCGTCTGAGACCAGCCACACGGACAGCTGATGAAACTGTGGGTTTGCACAACTGAAGAATTTCTGCACAAACTGTCAGACACTGTCTCAGGGAAGCTCATCTGTGTGCTCGTCGTCCTTACCAGGGTCTTGACCTGACTGCAGTTCGGCGTCGTAACTGACTTCAGTGGGCAAATGCTCACATTCAATGGCCACTAGCACGCTGGAGAAGTGTGCTCTTCACGGATGAATCCCAGTTTCAACTGTACCGGGCAGAAGGCAGACAGCATGTATGGCGTCGTGTGGGCGAGCGGTTTGCTGATGTCAACGTTGTGAACAGAGTGCCCCATGGTGGCGGTGGGGTTATGGTATTGGCAGGCATAAGCTACGGACAACGAACACAATTGCAATTTAATAAATGGCCATTTGAATACACAGAGATAACGTGAAGAGATCCTGAGGCCCATTGTCGTGCTATCACCACATGTTTCAGCATGATAATGCCAGTGGTGGAAAAAGTACCCAATTGTCATACTTGAGTAAAAGTAAAGATACCTTAATAGAAAATGACACAAGTAAAGGTAAAAGTCACCCAGTAAAGTTCTACTTGAGTAAAAGTCTAAAAGTATTTGGTTTAAAATATACTTACAGTGGGGGAAAAAAAGTATTTAGTCAGCCACCAATTGTGCAAGTTCTCCCACTTAAAAAGATGAGAGAGACCTGTAATTTTCATCATAGGTACACATCAACTATGACAGACAAAATTATTTTTAATGAATTTATTTGCAAATTATGGTGGAAATAAGTATTTGGTCACCTACAAACAAGCAAGATTTCTGGCTCTCACAGACCTGTAACTTCTTCTTTAAGAGGCTCCTCTGTCCTCCACTCGTTACCTGTATTAATGGCACCTGTTTGAACTTGTTATCAGTATAAAAGACACCTGTCCACAACCTCAAACAGTCACACTCCAAACTCCACTATGGCCAAGACCAAAGAGCTGTCAAAGGACACCAGAAACAAAATTGTAGACCTGCACCAGGCTGGGAAGACTGAATCTGCAATAGGTAAGCAGCTTGGTTTGAAGAAATCAACTGTGGGAGCAATTATTAGGAAATGGAAGACATACAAGACCACTGATAATCTCCCTCGATCTGGGGCTCCACGCAAAATCTCACCCCGTGGGGTCAAAATGATCACAAGAACGGTGAGCAAAAATCCCAGAACCACATGGGGGGACCTAGTGAATGACCTGCAGAGAGCTGGGACCAAAGTAACAAAGCCTACCATCAGTAACACACTACGCCGCCAGGGACTCAAATCCTGCAGTGCCAGACGTGTCCCCCTGCTTAAGCCAGTACATGTCCAAGCCCGTCTGAAGTTTGCTAGAGTGCATTTGGATGATCCAGAAGAGGATTGGGAGAATGTCATATGGTCAGATGAAACCAAAATATAACTTTTTGGTAAAAACTCAACTCGTCGTGTTTGGAGGACAAAGAATGCTGAGTTGCATCCAAAGAACACCATACCTACTGTGAAGCATGGGGGTGGAAACATCATGCTTTGGGTCTGTTTTTCTGCAAAGGGACCAGGACGACTGATCTGTGTAAAGGAAATAATTAATGGGGCCATGTATCATGAGATTTTGAGTGAAAACCTCCTTCCATCAGCAAGGGCATTGAAGATGAAACGTGGCTGGGTCTTTCAGCATGACAATGATCCCAAACACACCGCCCGGGCAACGAAGGAGTGGCTTCGTAAGAAGCATTTCAAGGTCCTGGAGTGGCCTAGCCAGTCTCCAGATCTCAACCCCATAGAAAATCTTTGGAGGGAGTTGAAAGTCCGTGTTGCCCAGCGACAGCCCCAAAACATCACTGCTCTAGAGGAGATCTGCATGGAGGAATGGGCCAAAATACCAGCAACAGTGTGTGAAAACCTTGTGAAGACTTACAGAAAACGTTTGACCTGTGTCATTGCCAACAAAGGGTATATAACAAAGTATTGAGAAACTTTTGTATTGACCAAATAGTTATTTTCCACCATAATTTGCAAATAAATGCATTAAAAATCCTACAATGTGATTTTCTGGATTTTTTGTTCTAATTTTGTCTGTCATAGTTGACTTGTACCTATGATGAAAATTACAGGCCTCTCTCATCTTTTTAAGTGGGAGAACTTGCACAATTGGTGGCTGACTAAATACTTTTTTCCCCCACTGTAAGTATCAAAAGTAAATGTAATTAATAAAATATACTTAAGTATGAAAAGTAAAAGTAAAAGTATAAATCATTTCAAATTCCTTATAATAAGCAAACCAGACGACACCATTTTCTTATTTTTTTTAATTTACGGATAGCCAGAGGCACACTCCAACATTCCAACATCATTTACAAACTAAGCATGTGTGTTTAGGGAGTCTGCCAGATCAGAGGCAGTAGGGATGACCAGGGATGCTCTGTTGATAAGTGCGTGAATTTGACAATTTTCCTGTCCTGCTAAGCATTCAAAATGTAATGAGTACTTTTGGGTGTCAAGGAAAATGTATGGAGTTCAAAGTACATTATTTTCTTTAGGAATGTAGTGAAGTAAAAGTAAAAGTAGTCAAAAATATAAATAGTAAAGTACAGATACCCAGAAAAACTACTTAAGTAATACTTTCAAGTATTTTTACTTAAGCACTTTACACCACTGG